CCTCCTTCTGTATCAGTGCCCATCCTCGAGTATCGCCTTTTGTAAGAGAGCCACTGTCTCGTACTGTTTTCCCCGAGCGTAGATTCGACGCGCGAGGATGCCCCACAGATTTTCCATCGGATTCAGATCGGGGGAACATGCAGGCCAATCCAGTAAATCGATGTGATGAGCCTCGAACCAATCCAGAGTTGATCTGCTAACGTGTATGGCAGCGTTGTCTTGCTGAAAAATGAGACGATGGCGGCGATTTCTTCTCATAAATGGTAGAAGGTGGTTTTTGAGCACGTCCTGGTAATCACTGGAAATTCATTCGGCAAAAATCGTGAACGCATATCGACACTTGCCACACCTCCACGCCCCCAAAAGCCGCCCAGCACATCACGCTTCCACCGCCAAAGTTCCGCTTAGATAAGGTGATTGGATTTTTGCGTAGATCTCTTCAATACGAAGCGCCATCCGTCCGGCCCATCCAAATTGAACTTTTTTTCGTCGGAAAAAATGATCTGCAACAGCAAGTACCACTCATGGTCGTCCAAAACTACACGTAATAATTAGTACTACCGTCTTCCAATTTGTCTGCATGTTGATTCTTGCAAAGCAAAGACGAGCCTCCTTGTGTTCCTTCGTAAGTCGGGGAGCACTCTTCATTTTCTCACGGACTATGTATGACGAGTCATTAATCACACGTATGACCGTGTGTTTGCTCACTTGGAGCCCCAATTCTTCCCTGATTTCGCTAGCCGTCTTCGTGCTGTTCGACGCCAATCGAAGAATTGAACGGCGATCACGTTCGCTCAGCTTCTTCGGTCTTCCGGTTAAAGTTTTCGTATTATACGCGAGTGGATTCCGCAAATACCGTGCAATGCAGTCTCGAGAGCGGTCGATCCGCTGGCTCATCCGGCGAACACTCCATCCCAGGTCGCGCATGACGTCGATTTCAGCCTGCTCGTCCATAGAAAGGCGATTGTTGCGTGGCATTTTGCTCCATGTGGAGTAGAAACATATATGGTATATGTATGCAACATGAAACGGTAATATTTCTCGTTTCCAATCTGGATATAGTTGAGGAGTGTTGAGAATCAGTAGCTATGTCGTATAGTTTTGCAACGGCCTTTTTTTCGTTTTTTCGACCCCACGCTTTTTTGAAAATGAATGAAATTCGATAATGATTCACCCCTGTAGGTTTGTTTGCACGCTGAATCGAATGGCATTGACCATTTCCCTGCTCATCCCACGCTAACTCAGAACTCCAAAATTTGGGGTATGTCGTATAGTTTTGCAACGGAGTGTATACTGAGCGCCGTTCATGTAGGAGGTGGAGGATGGTGCACATGTCGGATTGGCCTGGCGTAGGATGGAGCGGCACCCGGGATGACCTCCCTTGGACTGCGCGCGAAGCGCCAGGGTATCAATTCAAAAATGGAAGAACGCCTCGCCGCGTAATCGTATGTAGACACCCTGAGGCAGATCAACATTCTGCATCTAATTTTCTAACCTATTTTACTTTTTCTTTCGTTACTTATTCTGGCATCATTCCTCTTCACGGCAAGCATTTTTCTGAAGAAGACCAAGCACAGATGTGGGATCCTCATGCTTGCTGAACCTTCCTATTGCGAAATAGCACGTCAACCCAGTGCGTCCTCGTTTGTTGGGAAAGAGATCCAGAATCCTGATGCTAAGCTCTCAACACTGATTGAGGGTCGTCTTCAATCGTTACTTGTTCAAAACAACACAAGAATAGCCTGTACTGTCTCAAAATTTCTTTGATCTGCTATATGCATTCCCGCATAAATGACGGTGTTCCATCCAATTGGGTGAGCACAGGACACGGGAGAAGACGAAGAAAGCTTCGTGTATGGATGCGCAGCACAGATTGGCAAGGCTTGAATTCCCGTTCAAAAATAAGATCACAACATGGGACGTTGAAACGGACAGACAGCGCTTTTGTGAAAACCATAAGATAAGAATAAAGAGACGCTCTTTGGAAAATCCAGACAACCTCGACTGGAGAAAAAGCTTATCTTTCGCTATTCGGGTGGATCTCGTTGCTAATGGAGGGACCTTCGTCGTGACCCGCAGCTGTACTCAAAGAGGCATTTCGGAGGAGGCTCATCAATTGTCTGGGGTGGTTTCAAAAGAAGTGGAAAATTGAGATTGGCTTGCCAGCATGTCAGGTAGACAATTAGGATTATAATGAGGTGCTTGAGATCCCGACTTATATCTTTTTCGAGAAGCCAGCGTCACAAAACACTTGTTTTGCAGCAAGCCCAAGAGTCCCCTACACGTATTCCATTTGGGGAAGAGGCAAGGGTTCCGGGTGCTGGATTGGCTGGCGTATTCCTCAGACCACATCGTTATTGAAAACGTAGGGGATAGTGGTTCACTGTTTCTGCGCCATTAAAGAAAAAGTAGTACCCCAAGTGACCTAACAAGTTGCTGAAATTAGCTGCTTGGGAAGAGTTCGACGAAACAGGTATCGGGAGCCTGGTTCAGAACATGCCGAACAAAATGTTTGAACTTATCAGAATCTTTGGTAGGCCTACCAGTCTTTGATTCTGAAGATATTTCTGTTTTTCGAAAAGTGTCCACATACTTTTGATACAGGGAAGCAGGGAAAGTTTTTCCATTAATTAAAAAAATTAAAGCTGCATGTAAAACGGTGAGAAATGAGAAAATCTAAGGTTTCCGTATCCGAGAAATCGAATGGTGGCGATCTCATGGTGCAGAAGTCAACAGTTTCTCAGAGAAGGAAAAATTTTAGAGTGTACATACTTTTAGTGCTAGCACTAGCATCTTTCACCCTGTTTTCCTGCAATATTTTGAGCTCTGAACTTTGCTCTACTTATGGTAGCATTTCAGATGTCGATTCAAATTACTGAGCCGTACAAAGGAGGATTGGAAGAAGGGATGGTCTAAATACACTGCATTACAAAGCGCTCAATGTTACGCTCAATAAGCTGTTCACTCACATATTGGTTGATCTGCTAGAAGCAACAGAAAGGCCTCCCATTGAAGCAAAAATCTGTCATTAGACAATGCTGAATAAATTTTCATTTTCGTATGTTCAGTGTGGCCCTCATTCAGGTGACCACTGATCAAAAATGAAGGTAGTGGGCTAATTTTATCTTATATATCAGCAATTATTACATAGGATAAGATCACACCGCACGCTAGTTCTTCTCGCAGATGAATTGCTGATACAAGAATTCGTTTAAAGTAACAAAGAAATACAGTACTCGCCGTTTGAAATCGAAAATTCACGCGAATAACGCGAATCCTCGTTAATTTCGTGAATTCGTTATAACTCGGTTCAAAATTGAGATTTTCAAAATCTGAAAAAAGCGTTGAACTCAGCTCGTCGAGTTCTATAAGAATATGCTTTTAAACTTTTAAAAAGCCCTACTTCAGATTGCGCCATGCACTCGAGCTTTGGCTCGAGAAAAAATTGTTTGAATGTGGTGCGCATATAATCCCGCTTATGCATCATGATCTTTCTTCAGAGAGATGGGTCTCAGTAGTTGCTCCAGAACGCGCCGCGTATTCAACATCGTCCATTGTATTGTGAATGGATCGATTGCTTTTTTTCAGATTTCATGGTCCCTATTCCATAGCGGCGCGTTAAATGACTCAAAATGTACATGACTGCGCTCAACAACTCCTCCTCTCGTGTTCAAATGGAAATCATAGATCATTTTTCAGCAGGACAGTTAGCCTATTTGGTGAAATTTTCCAATGTTTGAGCGAAGGTTTTTCCGAAATCTGAGGGGTAGCGGGGAAATCTCTTCACAGTTGTAGAGTACGCTTACTTGTGTGTAGAAATGAGATGATACGCTTGCTTGTAGACGAGCGCTTCCGCCGTGCTGTGGCTGTGAACATGCCTCCTCGTCATGCCCTTGTGAAAAGATCAGATTTTTTTGCATTTCCAGATGAGCTCGCAGAACTGAAATGTGCCCCGTTAGATTCCCCGTGAAAAATGCTATCGAATGCATTACTTTTGATAATGCATTATTCATCGAATGATATGCATTACTTCCTCCCAGTTGAAACTTTGGTTTTTCACCGTTTTCAGCCTTCCCCTATTGCCGATTGGGCATCATTATTCCACGATTACTGCCCCAAAATCTCAAAGTTTCATTTTTCGTCGAAACTTTGCCTATTGGGGTAATTCGATGCCCTGATTACGAATATGACATTCATTTTTGATGGCGGTGGCGCCAAAGACGATTTCGCGTTTTTTCGTTTTTTTCGTTATAAATCGGTTTAAAATTAAGATTTTCAAAATCTGAAAACAGCCTTGAACTCAGCTCGTCGAGATCTATAAGAATCCGTCCTAAAGTTTTCTAGCGGCACTACACTGGATTGCGCCATGCACTCAATTTTCATCTCAAAAAGTAGTTGCTCGCATGTGGTGTGTATCTAATCCCGCTTATGCGAGCTGACCGCTACACAGAAAGAAGGGTCTCAAAACATACCCCAGGATGCGCCACGTACTCAATCTAATCCACTACATTGTGAGATTAGATGAATGTTATTTTCCGAATTCTTAGATCTTCATTTCGTTTTTAAGCGCTTACTGGCTTTACGTGTTCCCTCTGCTCTCAATATCCCATCCTAACAGTGAAGAGATTTTCCTGCTACCTCCTCAGATTTCGGAAAAACCTTCGCTCAAACATTGGAAAATTTCACCAAATAGGCTAGGGCATGACGAGGAGGCATGTTCATGGCCACAGCACGGAGGGAGCGGTCATCTGCAAGCAAGTGTGTGATCTTATTCCTACACACAAGTAAGCGTACTCTACAACTGTGAAGAAATTTCCCCGCTACCCCCTCAGATTTCGGAAAAACCTTCGCTCAAACATTGGAAAATTTCACCAAATAGGCTAACTGTCCTGCTGAAAAATGATCTATGATTTCCATTTGAACACGAGAGGAGTTGTTGAGCGCAGTCATGTACATTTTGAGTCATTTAACGCGCCGCTATGGAATAGGGACCATGAAATCTGGAAAAAAAGCAATCGATCCATTCACAATACAATGGAACCATGTTGAATACGCGGCGCGTTCTGGAGCAACTACTGAGACCCATCTCTCTGAAGAACGATCATGATGCATAAGCGGGATTATATGCGCACCACATTCAAACAATTTTTTCTCGAGCCAAAGCTCGAGTGCATGGCAATTTGAATTGAGTTTAAAAGCATATTCTTATAGAACTCGACGAGCTGAGTTCAACGCTTTTTTCAGATTTTGAAAATCTCAATTTTGAACCGAGTTATAACGAATTCACGAAATTAACGAGGATTCGCGTTATTCGCGTGAATTTTCGATTTCAAACGGCGAGTACTGTATGTCGTAGATTTCAAGGCAGCGGTCATATTTTCTGTCGAGCGTCATCGCGTCTTCACCTGAATATATCAGCATATTTGCTTTAATGAATTTTCAAATGCTCTCTCGACATGTCCAGCTGTAGGTTTATATAATATTGGTGTAAAGAATTTTTCCCCGAGGATTTCAGCGGTATATGTACTTTTTGTACTGTTATCTTTCCATGAAAAATGTGAATTTCGCTCTGATTCAAGACCTCGAAATTGACAGCCAGTGCTAGGTAGGAACTTCAAAAACTTCTCGTCAATGGGGTGAGCTCTGTAGAAAAGGAACATTAAGTGACAAGGCTCAGATCCTATTAGTTTTCGCTATACTTTGGCTCAAAGGAGCTTTTCCATGTAAAAATGACATTCAACAAAGCTGACCCACCTGGGATGAATTCGGTATCAAAATGACGAGCACCATCTGAAGAACACAACAGTCTATTTCCCACTTTACATAGGAGTAATACAATAACTTTATCACTCGCTAAATCACCACAAACACCAAATTGAATTTTGAGTCAATCAATCTTGTGCCATCCTGGATCCAATTATTTTTTTTGCTCACTGTTATTTGACCTGTAAATAAATAAATAAATAAATAACTAAATA